TCAGCTGCAAATTCTTTTTACTCAAGTTTTCTAGGTTGCAAAACTCTGAGACTGTTTCTAGTTTTTCAGGGCATTTATACATGTGCTACACGAGTTGGGGGGGCACACTGATTAGAGCGTCTCTCAGACCAAAGTTCATTGAAGGAGCTTTATTTAAAGTGCCCCTGCCACCATTTTTCAGCATGAGGATGCTGATACACATGACGCTGCTGTCTGTTGGAGTGCAGTAATTACCATGCCCCAGGAGACTCGATTAATAGTCTGCTCTGATGCACTGTAATTACAGTGCATCAGAGCAGCCTTGCTGCACATGTAGAGGCACCCTCAGGTACTAGCTAAGATCTCCTGTTTCAGGGCACCAGAAGTTCTACTCATGTGAACATTCCTGCTGCTTAACAGTTTACAGAGTCTGATCACTAAAGGCCATCTGAAACTAAACTGAATTGATAGGAAAGACCAAAATAAGCAATATTACATTAAACTTCAGAAATGATGACAAGTATTGAGATTAGCCTTAAAAATAACAAAAAAGAGCCTGTTTTCTTAAACACATTGATTTCCTCTCTTCTACCTCTTTCACTCGTAGATCTACTTAAATTGCAGTTCCATGATTTTTGTGGAAACCACAAAAAACACCCATCTCCGCAGTGACTGTGAAAAACAGTGTTCTCGTGATTTTGTGCAGAATCACCCCCCCAAAATAAAAGTTTACTGGAATACAAAGAAAGTGTGGCAATCCCTGCAGCCACAGACCATGTGGCTTGAGACAGAGCTACTCAGGGGCTGAGCTAGTAATTGAGACTCAGTTAAGGTGCCAGTCAGGAAAGTGAAAGGGTTTTGGCACCATCTTTTAAGAAGCCAGATGCAACGCTGCATCAATGCTGCAGTCTGAAGATGTTGAGTGAAAAGAAATCCAAGAAAGCTAAAGACATTTCATCTCAAGATCATGTAAGATCTTCTGCAAGTGAGGTTCCCTGTAGGAACCTTACTTGCAGAAGGTGGCAAATTGTTTTGTTCATTGTACAACATGGCTCTAAATGTATTGAAGAAAAACAGCACTGATTGGCATTTAGAGTACAAATTTCATATAAAGTGAGAGGCTGCTTCAGAGGCTGAAGGTCAGAGCAAGAAACAGGTGACTATGTCCTTGACTTTTAAAAGGACCACTGAAAGCAGTTTGACAAGAAGAGAGGCTACATTCTAGAGGAGGCATTCTGGCCACCGACATTCCTCTGGAGAAAATTCACAACCCTAAATTAAGGGACTACTTGAAAAAATGTGCGCCAAATGCTGGCAGATTCCTGTGTGAACAAACTTCACCAAGATTATCTACTTGGAGTAATTGCTTCTCAAGTTCAGTCTACAAAATCTACACTGGCAGAATATGAATCAATCTCAATTGTAGCAGATAAAAAAACAGATGCCCAATATAACTATGTTCTGCATATTTTATTTGTATCTGGGAGCTGGACAGACCACACAACCTGCCTGTTTTTCAAATAGAGCTGGCTCACCTCACATCTATCAATTGTTCTAGTGTGGCACAAGCTGTAGCAAAGGCTGTTGTAAACTACAGCTTAGAATTTAACAAGATCTCATTATTTCTGTCTGATAATGCAATGTGCACAGCTTTCTCTGATGTGCTCCATGGATTGATGCCCAATGCAATTCATGTCACTTGCAATGCACACATCCTTTCTTTAGTAGGTGACATCTGGTGCACGTCTTCCTGATGTGGAAAGCCTGGCTTCCTTCTCTAAAAAAAGCCTTCAAACATTGTCTAGACCAGTGTTTCTTAACCAGTGGGTTGCAAGAATATATGAAAAGGCCGCGAACAAACTTTAAAAAAATGGATCAACAAACTTTAAAAATGGATTTAAAAGCATGGGAAACCAAAACTTTTCCCTTGCAGGCTGTTGGAGTCCCAGCCCTCAAGGGGCTGCTTGGGGTCCCCTTGCCCCGCCCCTTGCACCTCACATTGGGGGGGTTGGGGCCTGGGGGTGGGGAGGCACTGGGTTGGGATTCAGGGGCACTGGGTCGGGACTGGACATCAATGTTTACAAATGGGTTCTGGTACAAAAACGTTGAGAACCGCTGGTCTAGGCTTTAAGCTTTGATACAGGGAATCCACTTCCAATCAAAGCAGGAATATACATGTGATTCTGTCACTTCCACCAGAGCCAGTGCTAACATGGTGGAATTCATGGTTTAACACAGTTCATTACCATACAAAGACCATGAAGTTCTACCGGCAATTTGTGTGCAAGGAGCTTGAAAACACACCCAGCAAATGGTGCATGCTTAAACAATGCAATCTCTTAAGACAGGTGACACTGAAGACCCAATTAAGTTTGTGGCTAAAAATGTGATTTGGTTCATGGAGCCTCTAACGTGGTTTGAAAGATGGCAGGCTTTGATCCACCAAGCACACCACAAGCTGATGGATTTGATAAGTTGGGTCGAAGACATGGCATCACAACAACTTTCAAACTGTCAATGTAAAAACCAGTGGAGACAAGAACTGTCCCAGGCAATAGCTGCAAAGTTGAATCCATACTACATGTACGATCAGTCACTACCACTGTGGTTTAAACAACAGGCTGCCTCCTCTTTTTAGTGTTGTCTGCATTTTTTACCCCAATCAGGTGCCATTTTTGAGTTTTGACCCTCAGCTACTGAAATCAATCCCTGGATGGAAGAAAGAGCTTGACAAGGAACGTGCTGCTTACATGAACTTTGTCAAAGAGTGCCATATATCTTTGAATATGACTGTGTTTTGGGAGTCTGTTTCTGATCGCTTACCACATCTCTACAATTTGGTAAAACACTCCCTTACCATTCCAATCAATTCAGTGGGTGCAGGATGTGCAATCTCAGTGCATGGACAAGAGTTCACACTGCAGAGAATGTCAGCTGCAACTGCCAGTAGATGCTGCATGCCAGTGTTTAACAACTAACATGTATTGCTTCTATCTAGGGTAGCATTATTTAGTATTACTAAACTTTCTGTAGCATGCTAATAAGTTATGCTGATATTATTTCCAATTCATATTGTGTATACATTTATGTTCATAATATATTTCAATTTAGATTAAAATGTAATACTTACATTTATAATAATGCAGTAATTTATCTGATATTTCCACAGAGTTTGCGGTTTCATTATGCAACTGTGTTTGCTTTTCGGTCAATCAGTGGTGAGAGACAAGGTTGCCAGGGCCTTTCAGCCAGTCAATGGTGGCATGGGTACGGGTGGACTTACCGTAAAAAGACCACAAAATCAATACCATATACTGTGAGTGGCCCAAAAAAAAGCCCTTTGTCTCTCTGCAATTTAGGTCAGTCCCCACTTATTCTGTTTGCCCCCAAAATACCTCTTCCATCTGTAGTGTAGCCAGGCCCATGTGGACAGAGTTTCTTATACTGAGTGGTCCCTGGAAGTGGGCACAGCTCACACTGGTTACCCCAACCTCTGCCTCCATTGCAGCAGCACTCCGACTTGGTGACAAGATTACGACTGCTAGAAGCCATCTGACACATGGTTTGTAACACTTCTGCAAAGCAGAATCCTTGGCGGTTATCTGTAATGAGAGTGCAAAGGTCAAGTTAGAATATACACATATGAAACAGTAAGTCTGTCTGGTTTATTAAAATTACATTTGAATGCTTTCAGTTAAAACTACAAGAGGAAACTGAGATCTGTGGATTAATGTGCCAAAACTCCAGATAGTACTCTGATAGTACTTCAACTTAATCTTTCAAAAATTCTTTGTACTATCTGTGACAATCTTCTACTGTTTCTAACTTTCAAAATATTCAGTGCTTCATGGAACTTATAGTATGACTTATGCCTCACAAGGATGTACACCAGCAACCCTGGAAGACCAGCCAACTTGCTTGAAGAGCAAAAACAAGCAAATAGTAAAAAAAAAAAAAAAAAAA